TAATGTACTGCTCACTTTTTACTCAAATTTCAAATCCTTTGCCTTACTCTCTCTAGCTAGAGAGTACTCTTCCATCCTTTGAGTTATCAGTGAAGGGCCACCTCTGTACTGATCCTCCCAGAAGTGTTTATGCCTTCTCATACTTTGAATAACAATATGTACCTATACTACATTTTATAACATTATCTTATAATTTCTGTGTTTGCCTTCCTTAGATTCTGAGTTTTTGAGGACTTGCAATATGTTCTGTTATCTTTATATTAGTGATATGATTCTTTGCAGCTGGATCTCAGTCTTAAGAATCTGATGATCACCTACTCACCTATTAATTGATATAAACTCTACTCTGGGCTATGTAACTGCTTAGGGCATAGATGTGTGGACATGACAATTTAGGAGAGATGAAAAGCAGTGCTGAGGTAGTTGACAATGATTATTTCCTCAGGAGTATAAAAGGTCCATCCTGACTTAAATGTCTTAAGGAAGCTTCTTTGCCAATGTGACATGGATGTAGGAATTGAAGGAAGCAAGACAAAAGGAAGAGTCAGAAGACTGTGGTTTAGAAAGAGAGTATACTCAGAAGGCCTAGAAACAGGGAATCATTTTTGGTACTATTCTGCTTTTATAAATACAAGACTCATTTCATCTTTACAGCTTTACTGAAGTTGGAAAATTCTTCTTAAGAATGTTCTTACATTGAGGTCTTTGATTCTTATATTTACAGACAAGTATCCCAGTCACCCCTCATCAAAGAAGCTTCTTTTTCAAAAGATGAAGATTATTGCAGAGTTCCACAACCAGTCATGCACAAAGACTGTGAGTTGCCCAAGTCTAAGTGGCACATCTACAATGTAACCTCTACACCTAAGACTCATGGAACATAGAAATAGTGGGTAAAGAGAACATTAATGCACCACTCAATTCTCATCAATGAAGCTCCCTCATGCAACAGAGGGCCAGGAACACTAAAGGTCACAAATGACCAAAGCATGGTGAATGAGAGGCTACAGAGTGTGGGTCATTGGACAGGACTCTTATACTAAACTCCACCCAGCTATGGCTCATGGACCATTATGGAAGAGGAGGTGGATAGATTGTAAGAGCCGGGGAGGAGGTGCATGACCACATGGAACCAGAATCCTACAGGCTCCTGGGACCCTGCTCATATGAACTCATAGCAATGGTGTCAGCATGCACAAGACCCATGCAAACTCAAGCAGACAAAAACTAGCACAGAACCGTGGAAATGGGCAGCAGGCCCCAATCTTGGTCAAAGGATTCTTGGCGGGTAGCTGACTACTGTTGGGTGAGGAAGAGCTGACCTTCTTAAAGAGAGGGACTCTAGATAGACTGATTAGACCTCGGTGAATGAGTTTGCACTGAGTGACGTCTGGGGACATTAACTTTACACAACAGGCCTTAATACAAATAACAGAATGTATGCATTCCAGCAGTGGTGGGGTTATTGGAGGGTACCAATGGAGAAGGGAGTGTAAAGATGATTAAGATGTCCTGTATTTAATATGTAAATACTCAATAAAAAATTTATAAGAAAGAATGCCTTACATGTTCTTTTGGTTTATTCTCCTCTTTTTTTTCCTTCAAAGTTGCATTTTAGTTTGTATTTCCTCCATGAAACTTTATTGATTTGAAAGTATGCTATCACTGCATATTCAATTAATATATACAACATTAACCACATTCTTCCATTCATATATAATTATGTGCATGTGCATTTCTATGTACATAAACACTACAACAAAAATATTTTTTCTGTATATCGTCAATATATTTTTTCCTTTTTTATTAATCATTGTGCAAATATCAATTAATCGTCTTTGATTTCTTTACTGTTGAAGATACTACTTTGTTTCACACTGGCAGAGTCAAGGATGGATGGAATGGAGATGCTAAAGGCCACCAGGATGGGACAAGTCAGGCTTCCCTTGTCCAAATATAGCATAGAAGCAAGGCGTGGGAAAAGGAGGCAACGACACTACATTCTTGTTGGACTGTCGTCTCAAACATTTCAAATTAGACATTACATCATTTATTTTCTTTTTCTTTCTTTTCTCCCTCTGGAGAACTGTCCTGACTTGTGATTATATGGCTCTCCTCTGGTAAACCTGATGTAGATTTTCCCCTTCCACATTGTGATGCTTACAGGAATATCATCATGGTCTGTGCTGTACCTAACACTGCAAAAGTCCCATACTCCGGCATGACAATTCAGTCATACATTAAACAAATGAGGACATCTCAGCACATTTCAAAACTAACAAATTGTTCTCCTTCCTTTCTAATGGGTACATCATAGGCATGACTTCCTGTACTACTTTTCTACCAACTTCCTTCTTGGGTGTAAGATTGAAGCTGGGACTGCAGATTAAGCTATGGTCTGGGTCTGAACACACTTGACATTCCAATGCTTCCTTGAGGAAATGGACCCTGGGTATATCCAAACACATCTCTAAACTTGCAAAGCCAACCAGAGTGATGTGCTCTGGCAGTCCAGCCCTCAACCTGATTTTAGGCTCCAAAGGGACCATCACTTATCCCTTCCCCATGCTCCAGGGTACCTCGGATGCTGGAAATTAGCATTACAGCTCTGCCCCAGTTCCTGGAGGCAGTCAGCTTTCAGGTGGCCTTCCAGGTTCTGTCTTATATTTTGATTTACATATTTTATTTGTGCTTGTTTTTCTCCTTAACTGTACTAAAATTGCCATAAATTCAAAGACTGTCTTTTATACTCTGCAGAGCATTCGGCATTGAGCCCAGAATACTTTGTGTTTCTAGTGACTATTTTTTGTCAGAACAAATTAATAGGTAAAATTAAAAAGGAGGAAGATTAAACCAAGTTGCAGATAAAGATTCTTGTTCAAACTTAAAAAAAAGCTATAACTAGGAAATCACTTTGAGGTGACGTATTTCTTAAAATGTGTGTATCTTCTCCATACCATCTAGTTATGTGGACTAGATAAGAGATAGGTTTTTTCAATATATGTTTTTATTGACATTTTATGCATTTTATACAATGAATCTTGACTATATTTAGACCCCCTTCCTTATCTGCACACCTATAGCTGCCCCCACACCAGATTTCATGCATTCTGTCATATATAGTAAGGCCTAAAAGTCGAGTTTGTGTCCCCAGATGTCCCTCAGTGTGAGTTCATCCACTGGAGTCTGGTCAGCCTATCTAGTGTCACTCCCTTAAAGAAGTTCAACTCTCCTTCATCCGGTGGTGATCAGCTGCTAATAGGTCTTCAGCTAAGGTTGAGGCTTCTTACCCATTTGTTTATTTTAACTACACTGGATTTTTGTCTGATTAGACAACAGATTGTTAAACTAAATGTGGGGGTTGCAGAAATTTTACCAACAGTAAAATGTTTCGTAACATGCAGAATCAAACAATTCAAACCCAAAGACATAATGAACCTGAGGTTTTGGGAGCAATGCTTCCCTGTACTGCTTTACACCACTTTACTTCAGCCTTTGTTCTGAAAAATCCAGTATGGAGAATTCGCACTGCCCATCGGGTCACATCTGACAACAACAAACAGCACTGCCTGAAACCCTCACCTTAGACCCAAGACCAAGGTTCACAAATCGCAGTGTTTCCTTTTTACTGTATAAACAAAATTTTCTCTTTTGTAGAAACATAATGGTTTGATTACATAAAGCAAAGATTTTTATATATTTTTACTATCATTTCTCAGCATGTATCAAATTAGTATATTTCTTGAATTGGATTGTATTAGAATGTGTGATTTTAAAAATTGCTGTTTAAGTTAACTTGAGTTTCACTGAAAAAAAGTCATTAACTTTGGCTTGGAATTAGGACAGAATTTCCAAAAATTTCTGAAATGGTTCTAAGCATGTTTCTTCAATTTTGTGAATTCTCAACATTGTTTACTATAAATTCAAAATATTGAAAACCCCTATAAAGTACTAAAGATGATCTATGTCCTGAAGAATCAAACTTTCAACCAAAATTAAATTCTTTTGGGAAAAGTAAACAATCGGCTCATTAGCATGAAAATTTGCTTTTGTATTTAATCAATGATAAAATCATATATGTCAAATAATTGTTTTAGAATAGATTTCGCTCTGATTTAGTAATGTATTTGATTCATCTATTTATTTTATATCAGTAGATATCCAGGGTGGCATAAAATATTTTGGGTGAAAAGATCTCATTGACTAAAATAAGCTTAAGAAGTCCTGGACTAGACCATGCAAGTCTCAGCCCCAAAGTCCAGTCACAGAGAAACACCTTCCAGTTTGTAAGAGCAGGCAGATACTTTATTTTCTTCAGACAAATGCCTCAGGCCTTCTGACTCAGATTACACATTTTTTTTCAAGGAAGGCAAAAGTTATTTATATCTGTCCTCATAAACTTAAACATTCCAAGTGGCAATATTTTAAATTTCCTATATGTGACTAATTACAGACCACTTAACAATAACACTATCAGCTTTTGCATAAAATTAAAGATTTTTATTAGTTTATACTAATTACACAAAATATTATTTTCAAATTGACATTTTCATAGATGTATATACTGCACTCTGATCATATTTTTAAATGGAGACAGCCAAAGCTCCAAAAAGTTAAATGGTATGATTAAATCTCACAGTAACACAGGACCAGGCAGTGAATGTTTTCTAGCTTTTTCCAATCCTGTGCAGGATGTCTACTGCTAGACAAAAGAGGCCTATGTTCTGTAAGGATTTGAGAATGAACTTCCCTTTTGGCCAGGTCATAGTTGAGGTTTCACACATTGTTCCATCTTGCCCTGCAAGATGGTTGTTAGTGAAGCCCTTTCCAAACTATTCCTGTAATAATTTCCGTCCTGAATCCCAGAAAAATTGAGAACATGGGGTGGGGCTCTGTCTCTCCTGCAAACCTCTTGGCTTGTTGCTATTTACTTAATGATTAATCCTTCAACACTGCCTCATTAAATAGAAGGGTAATATTTTCCTTCTGTCTGGACTGGACAGGCTCCCAGCTCGAGTCAGGTACCTTCAGGCCATGGAGATGACGGTATATAATATGCCTTTTGTGTTAGCTTTTGGAAACTGAGCTCGGGTTAGGGAAGGTGGGAATGAAGGATGCACCAAATAATGGATTTCCTTCTGTTTCTCAGCTCTAGGGTCAGTGGAATCCTTAGCAAAATATTTAATGTTTTTAGGACAGAGAGAAATCAGAGTGCATAGAGGATCCGCAGTTGGCATTTGCGTTTGCTTCCCTTAGATACCTTAGGCCACTATTGTGATCAAACCTCCCTCATTACTTTGTTACTGTGGAGTTTGAAAATTATTATTTTAATGTGACAGTTGTGGGTATTATTGTCAATATCTATATCGTGGTTGCATTTATTTTAAATAGTTCAGTCCAACATGGCATCTAAATCTTTCCTTCTAACTAAGAGTTAATTGACTGCTAATTGGAAGGTGGAAGAAGAAAGATAAACTACTGGTGCCACGAGCAATCTGGAATGCTCAGTGATCATGGCAAGAGGAAATTGAAACTGGTGAGGTAAGAAAATGTTTTCTAGTTAAGAAGCATGAGCTTTGTACTGTGCTTTGATTTCACCTTTCATAAGCGTTGGCTATGTTGTACTTCTATGTATGCATTTGAAGAAGTAGAGGACATGATTTCTGTTCCTGGGCATATTTGTAAAGGGGATGTATTCTGTGAATGTTACCTATCTTTAGAGAAACAGTGGGTATAGACTCTCTCAAACAATGAATACATTTTTGAAATAAAGTTACCCATTATTGCTGTTGGGTCACTATTTCTTTTGATAGCCCTTAGATATATTCAACACAGTAAAACTGAGTCTATTTCAGTGAAGATGAGAATAAACACCCCAAAAGAAATAGATAATGAAGTGTCCTCCATGGTTTTGTTTTTACCTGTCTAGATCTTTAGTATTGAGTTGAATATTCCATGCCACATTCTGAGGCAAATGCTGAAAGTACATAGGTTTTTAGATTTAAGTCACTGCTTCTATACTGATCAAGATGTATTGATAAGCAATGGGTTGACAGTCCTTTTTGTTTTCTTTTGTGGAACACCACTTCATGGAGTCTGTGCAATCCAGAAAGGAAGGAGTGGGAAGACTTGGTTAAGTGATTTTTAAACTTGATTATTTATAAAGTGGGGTTTATGAACTCTGTCTTTCTTGAACAGCAGGATTATTATTAGAAGGAAATGAAATAGATGCATGCCAAGGCTCCCTAAGAGGTTATCTGTTTTCTGACTCAGAAGGCGTTGTTTTCAGATTCCTATCATTTTAGTAGCAGAGGCTGGTGGCGGCTTTTGGCCTGTGAGACACTGACATTTGGAACTGAATGGATCCCAGGGCCAGCATATGTTTTGAGTCTAATTTGTGGGATCGGAATGAAGGAAAGAGAAATGAAGGAAAATATTTCCCCTTTTAAGGCCCATGGCCTGTCTGCTTCTCCGAAGCTACTTGGCATAGTACTCTGGTTTGATGGGTAAAATCAGACAGCCCTTGAACAGAGCAGGTATACATCTCCATGTAACGTAATGTGACCCTCCAATTTCTATACTCGTCTGGGATGCATAAATATTTGTGAACTATAGTGAAGGAAGGCCCATAGGTTATAAACAAAGATTTGTGGGGCCTTTTCTAGAATATAAAGCCATGTAAACATTATGCCCACAGTTTACCCCATCTCCTTTCTATGAAGTGAATACTCCATCACTTAAATTAGACAGAAAAGGGTAAGTATCAAATCAAAGCAACAAAATTTCTGGTCCTAGTGAATTGGCACGCCTATTTACTTTATAGATGGAAAGAAGCCAAAATATTGAAAAGACGGGTCATCTAGGAATAAGATCATCAGCTAAGTATTTCTTGCTTGACTCAGAACAAAGTGATGACTAGCTATTTTAGCTATTGTAGTGATGTTTACAAAGATCGTTCTATACACAGTTTAGCGCCTAGGCAATCTAGTCTCTCTGCCAGTGCAGAAAAGCATACTACTTATACAACACTATCTATTGATCACACATTCTCCTTCGTGTTAGAACTATGAATAGTCTCACTGAAGTACTTTCCTTTCCTTCTGATCCCTACATAAAAAGGGCAAGGCACCTTCACGTGGAAAGTCAATCTTAAATCTGGGCTGTTTAATTTTCTTCTTGATCTAACTCTGCTAAGCTTTTCTCTCTTTTTCATTTTAAAATTTTTGTTCTTATTCGTGCTTCATTTGTTTATTTGTATTTTGTGATGGCATCTCTATGTAGCCCCAGCTGGCCTGGAATTTACTATATAAACCAGAGTTGCCTTGAACTTTCATAGATCTTCCTGTCTCTGCCCCATTAGTGTTAGAACTACAGGCATGAGACAACATATCCAGCTTATCTCTTAAAGAATGCTTTGGACTTTCAAAATGTGATAAAGGAACTTCCATTCAGAATTATGGATTTATGCCTTGCTAGTTTAGTGACACCAGAAGCACTTTATATGTGCAAACTCAATATTCAATGAGATGGGTTCTATTAGTTGCATTTCAAAGATGAAGAATCTGAGGCAGAATGGAATAATCTCAATGTGCTTGAAGTCAGAGTTGGTGGAGAGTAAGTACAGCTCCAGTTCTCATGTTTTATTACCACTACATATATAGAATTTTCCCACACTCCTGCCGTCCCTTCCTGTGATTACCTTCTTTTCATATTGTAAGCAACTATGTACATTTCCAGCCCTCACTTTCATTCCTTCTTACCTCATATCCACGACCACTATGCTACAGAATCTTTTTCTCAAGATCATCTGTAATTAAGGATTAAATATGGAACATCCCCAATAGTCTCGTGTGTTGAATATTTGATCCACAGTTGGCGATGCTAGTTTGGAAGGTTCTTGAAACTTAAGAAGGCAGGGTGTCAGTGGAGGAGCAAGAAACCTGAAGTCAGGTCTCAGGACACTCTGTCTTGTCTAGGACCTCTCTGTCTTGCTCTGTTCCCAGGACACCATCCTGATGTAGCTTGTGCTGTGACGCCTTCCTTGTCAGGACAGGCTAAATGTCTAAAGCTGTGAGCCCGTGTAGATCTTTCTGCCCATATGCTGTTCATGTCATATGTTTTGTGACAGAAATGAAAATTCTGATAACCTATCTATGAATTTAAGTCACTCATTTTTCTGTTTAGACTTAATCCTTTTTAGATGTGCACTACTAACCTAGTTATTTCTACTTATTTTTCCTCCAGAACTTTTATTTCTGCAACTCTCCCCTAGTGCTCTAGATAAAGGAGAGGATAAAAATTATGTAAAGGCAAAGAAATGAATAGTCTGATCTGGAAGCTCAGTGGTAAGTTCCTGAACTACAGTGTAGTTAGACTTGATGATGATGTTATAAGGACAAAAAGGGGTCAAAGGGCACTCTAAGGCTTTAGACCGTGTTGAAAAGTTGAAGAAAAATGCGAGTCAGTAAAAAAGACCCAATTTGAAATATATTGAAAACTAATTTTTTGTCTCTGATTTAGAAAACATTTTTATTTTGAAAGATAATACAATATTTAATAGGTAAAGCTAAATATTTAATAAACACAATACGATTATGGTACACTATGGGTTATCACAAATCATGTATTCAAAAGAATTTAATAATAAAAATAAAATAAAAGTTACAAGAGGAAATAATATACTTTATTAATATACATCAACTGTACTTACAGTTTTTAAAAATTCATGCTTTTATTAATTATTTAAGAATTTCATATAATGCATTTTTATCCTATTCATACCCTGTACCTCCCCCTAACTCTTCCCAGATCCACCACCACCTCTCTATCCCTACCAACTTTGTTTTCTCTTTTTTTTTTTTAAAAAAAAAAACCAATTCATTGAGTCCAATTTGTGCTACACATATACTTATGGTTGTGGAGTCATCCACTGAAGTGTGTTCATCCAGGGGCCTCACCCTTAAAGAAAAGTGACTCTCCCTGCCCCAGAAGCCATCAACTGTCCATAGCTCCTCAGTGAGGAGTGGGAACCTGTGAACTTCTTCTTCCCCTTTCATGCTAAAATTTTTACCTGCTTGAACTCATGCAGGTCTTGTTCATACACAGTTGCTATGAGTTCATGAATGTGGTGGGCCTGTCATGACTAGATGACACTGTTTCAGTCCCTGATTTTCATAGACCTCTGGCTCCTACAATCTTTCTCTGATGGTGCCTGAACCTTGAGGAGGGGTGATATATGTTTCACATTTGTGACCGAGCACTCCACAGTCACTCATTCGCTACACTTTGGCCATTTGTGAGTTTCTGTGTTACCTATCATCCACTGCACAAAGAAACTTCTTTGATGATGTCTGAGAGCTGCACTAAGTATTAATCTATGGGCATGGATGTAGGAATTTAGGGGGCAATTTCATAGTATGTATGTTTAGCAGAATAATAGTAGGAGATTTATCCCATAGTGTTTGTACCCATTAGCATATTTTGCCATGCTGTTCACTATTATAGTTCAAGGGTTCACAGCTGGGTAAGACTGTTGATGACCTCCTCACAACAGCCTACATAGGACTTTGTGGTACTTTGAAAGCTAACCAGCAAGGAGGAAGATCCCTGGTCAGTACCAACTTGATTTCTTCTTGTTTTATGACCAATGTGTGTGATGTCTTCAGCAATAGATATTTACATCAATTCTGGTGGGCAACTAAGAGCAACAGAAATAGCAAGCACTGTTTGCTTTGAGGGTCTCTGGGACACCTCTAATAATGATTCATGGTGAGGTATCCCACACCTGGCTCTGTGCTTTTTATCTGGCAACATATGGCTTGTGGAATGGACATAATCCCCTGTTCCCCTCTGTAGGGTAACTCCATTCAAACTTTTTATAAGAGTATATATATATATATAGGGTTTATCTGTTTTACACAGTAGGTTTCCGTATGACTTTTTAGAAAGCTCTTTAGTGTTAGTTCTCCTTACTTACATTCCCTCTATGCATTGCCCTGTCATGCCTCACCCCTTTCAGACCTTCCATTTCTATTGTTTCTACATTAAAATAGTAGGCTTCCATATGACTTTTAAAAACAGTGCTAATTATTCCTCCCACACATCCTCTACCCTCCCCTTTCATTCCCCTACACCTAAAGTGCCTGCCCCATCATCTCCTTTTACCCCTTCATATCACCAGTGTTCCACTATCTCCCCCGCACCGCCCGAACTTAAGATCTTGCTCCCCTGTCCCCACCAACTGGTCACTTTTCAGTTTTCTAGATTCTACAAGTAAAATTAAGCACACAAATCTAAATATTCGACACTAAGATCCATGCATGAATGAGACCATGTGATGTTTGTCTTTCTGGGTGAGTGTTACCTCACTCAGTATATTTTGAAGCTCCATCCATTTACCTGCAAATTCCATAATTTCATTTTTCTCTACAGTTGAATGAAATTCCACTGCATACATTTCCATTGTCCAGTCTTCAATTGATGGGTATCTAGGCTGTTTCCATGTCCTATCTATTGTAAATAAAGCAGCTATGAACATGGAG